AGGTACTTTTGATCTGATGTTGAATTCTCCCTTTGCTACATAAGCAAATGTAAGGTAACTTAAAGGAAGAATCTAGCAACCCTTACGGATTTTTAATTAGAGACTGCTTTGATAAGCTCCATGATGTGTGACCCCTAAGTGTGTTATGTTTGCCCAGTGATGTAGCTGTTTGCTGGTGTATTGCTTGTCTGAAGATTAAATTTATTTGTAGTATTGAGGTTGCCCAATATTGTTGAGAGAGGTGGCCTTTGTAGAGAGGTTTAAACAAGAGTCACTGTATGGACCGTCAGCCAAGAAAGTGGCTGTTTTAGAGAAGCTTGAAAGAGTTAATGTAAGGAGTGTCGGCCAAAAATGTGGCCGTTTCAGAGACGTAGCTGTTAGTGGAGGTTAGACTGTATTTTAAGCAAATGTGTTCAGGTACAGGAATCATGTTAAATAGTAAAGTTGATGTACTTTTTGAAAGCACTATAATGTACATACCAGTAGCAATTACATTGTGTACAGACAGCCAGGAATAAATTTTACACTGTATATCCAACAGGTCATTGTTGTTGCATTTCAAGAGTATTAAAAATGTAAACCTTATCTGAAGAAGTGGAAAGTGTTCTTTGACATACTTTGGGTCCATTAGCTTAGAAGATGTTTACATACCCTAAGTGCCATGTACTTTCCCAGATGATGTGGAAAAAGAGTAGAGTATACTTGCTTGTTGGTCACTTCATTTTGCTGAACTCAAAAGTATAACTGTCAACATACAGCACAACCTCATCCCATGGGTTTTTCTCAGAGGGCCTGTAATCTGTTTGTGCTTTTTTTTAAGAAGGCAGTGTGGCTGAGCGGTTAGAGTGCTGGACTTGTAATCCGGAGGCCCCGAGTTCAAGTCCCCCCCTCACCGCTAGCTGCATTTGTTCATGGTATTCCTGAGTTCAAATCCTTGGCCACGCCTGTAAAAAGCCGACTGGTTCGCCTCCTACCAGTTGGGATTCTTAACCATGTCATGTTGCATTTGAATTATTTGTTTCATTATCCCTGAAAAAGCCCCAAACATCACATACCTAATACATCTAGATCAAGGAGGAATAACATAATAAACAAAACAGGTTTGAGTTGTGCATTTGAGAGACCAAAAACATTATAAAAGTACAAACTGAATGATAATGTGACGGCTTTATTTATCCAAATTACCTTGTACTTAGCCTGTATACAACCACCCCCCTCCCCTGAAAAAAAAGTGATTATTTTTGAGGGGAGGGGACATCTGCGCACAGGCTATCTTGAAGTTTGCATAAAAAATATACTATTAACATGTCTTATGTATCACGATATTAAAGGAACCACGAAACCAAACGGTTTATTCCAAACTGGACTCCTGAGAGAATTTTATGTGTTGCAGGTCAAAGTTAAATTAAGGTTAAATTTTTTTCACCTGGTATAAGTCTCAATTTCCTTTGTCTCCTAGCCGTAATTATTAGGCAGGTACAAAACTTGGACCCGATCACCTCATCTACATACTTACGACACAACAGTTCAATAATATTGTTTCCCCATGTGTTAATTAATGAGTCCATCTGATCCGAGTTTTGTACGTGCTCCTATTAATCACAAATTAGGGCTAGGGAGCAAAGGAAATTGAGAATCAACACCATGCCTTGTGCACTCTCAGCTATACATTAAAAAACCAAACAGATTGCAAGCCCTACGAACCTCTGTACAACAAAAGAGCAGGTTGCCATGTACCAAATTTTTTCTTTAATATTTATATATTTTTTACTTCACTATTATTTTGTTTCAAAAAACTAATCTTTTATCTGTTGAGTACATACAATTTCTTATGTGTAGTTAAGGTATATATCACTCTTCGCTAAATTATAAGAAAATATTATTTTTATTTAACCGTTTTACTCTAAATGACCTGTTAAAAAATTCTACCCACCAGGAGAGGGTGGTAGAAAAAGGTGGTGCATGGGGGTGGGGGTGGGTAGATTTAGAGATCGTGGGGGCTCCCATAAAATCAAACAAAAAAAATGTGAAAAAGGGTAACTTACCTGTTAACAATATTTTCTATCAGAATTATCTTAGCATGGAATTTTGTACCATTTGATGGAAATTTGTAAGTTGTATTTGCCCAGCCTTTTGCAATTTGAAATTGCTTGGTTTTTTTTTACAGAAATGCTCAACATTTTGATGACCAAGGTAAGTATACTCTTATACAGGATAGCCATGAGGGGTATGGCAGATTCAAATCAGTTTCCTGCTTAAACTCTGCCATCAAAGAATTCTCTCTTTCATTGACAGAGCCAAAATCTGTAAAAATGGTTTAAAAGGCTAACTGAATGTTCTTATATTTTCACTAAATTAACTTGACACATTTAATTTTAAAAAACTTAATAAACTGGGCTCTCAAATAGTAGTCTGACATTTCAGACTATCAAAACAGGTTCCCTATTCCAGTTAACATTTTGAAAGAGTGGGTGGAAAAGAGCCCATTAGGTACTTTTGATCTGATGTTGAATTCTCCCTTTGCCACATAAGCAAATGTAAGGTAACTTGAAGGAAGAATCTAGCAATACATCAGCAACCCTTGCTGATTTTTAATCAGACTGCTTTAATAAGCTCCATGATGTGTGACTCCTAAGTGTGTTATATTTGCCCAGTAATGTAGATGTTTGCCAGTGTATTTCTTGTCTGAAGATAAAATTTATTTGTAGTATTGAGGTTGCCCAATATTGTTGATAGAGGTGGCCTTTGTAGAGAGGTTTAAACAAGAGTCACTGTATGGACCGTCAGCCAAAAAAGTGGCTGTTTTAGAGAAGCTTGAAAGAGTTAATGTAGGGACTGTCGGCCAAAAATGTGGCCCTTTCAGAGACGTGGCTTTTAGTGGAGGTTAGACTGTATTTTAAGCAAATGTGTTCAGGCACAGGAATCATGTTAAATAGTAAAGTTGATGTACTTTTTGAAAGCATTATAATGTAAATACCAGTAGCAATTACATCGTGTACAGACAGCCAGGAATAAATTTTCCACTGTATATCCAACAGGTCATTGTTGTTGCATTTCAAGAGTATTAAAAATGTAAACCTTATCTGAAGAAGTGGAAAGTGTTCTATGACATACTTTGGGTCCATTAGCTTAGAAGATGTTTACATACCCTAAGCGTCATGTACTTTCCCAGATCATGTGGAAAAAGAGTAGAGTATACTTGCTTGTTGGTCACTTCATTTTGCGGAACCCAAAAGTATAACTGTCAACATGCAGCACAACCTCATCCCATGGGTTTTTCCCAGAGGGCTTGCAATCTGTTTGTGCTTTTTTCAAAGAGGCAGTGTGGCCGAGCAGTTAGAGTGCTGGACTTGTAATCCGGAGGCCCTGAGTTCAAGTTCCCCCCTGACCGCTAGCTGCATTTGTTCATGGTAGTCCTGAGTTCAAATCCTTGGCCACGCCTGTAAAAAGCCGACTGGTTCCCCTCCTACCAGTTGGGATTCTTAACCATGTCATGTTGCATTTGAATTATTTGTTTCATTATCCCTGAAAAAGCCCCAAACATCACATACCTAATACATCTAACATAATAAACAAAACAGGTTTGAGTTGCGCATTTGAGAGACCAAAAAAATTATAGAAGTACAAACTGAATGATGATTTGACGGCTTATTTATCCAAATTACCTTGTACCTAGTCTGTCTACAGCCACTCCCCTCCCCCTATTATACCTATTAACATGTCTTGTGTATCACGATGTTAAAGGAAACACGGAACCAAACGGTTTATCATGGTTTATTCCAAACTGGACTCCTGAAAGAATTTTATGTGTTACAGGTCAAAATTAAATTAAGGTTCAATTCTTTTCACCTGGTATAATCCTCAATTTTCTTTGTCTCCTAGCCGTAATTATCAGGCAGGTACAAAACTCGGACCGGATCACCTCATTTACATACTTACGATACAACAGTTCAATTGTTTCCCTACGTGTTAATGAGTCGCTCTGGTCTGAATTTTGTACCTGCTCCAAATTAATCACAAATTAGGGCTAGGGATCAAAGGAAATTGAGAATCAACACATGCCTTGCGCACTCTCAGCTATACATTAAAAAAGCAAACAGATTGCAAGCCCTACGAACCTCTGTACAACAAAAGAGCAGGTTGCCATGTACCAACGTTTTTCTTTAATATTTATTTATTTTTTACTTCACTATTATTTTGTTTCAAAAAACTAATCTTTTATCTGTTGAGTCCATGGACAATTTCTTGTGTGTAGTTAAGGTATATATCACTCTTTGCTAAATTATAAGAAAATATTTTATTTAACTGTTTTACTCTGAATGACCTATTAAAAAATTCTACCCACCAGGAGAGGGTGGTAGAAAAAGGTGGTGCATGGGGTTGGGGGGTGGGTAGGTTTAGAGATCGTGGGAACTCCCATAAAATCAAACAAAAAAATGTGAAAAAGGGTAACTTATCTGTTAACAATATTTTCTATCAGAATTATCTTAGCATAGAATTTTGTACCATTTGATGGAAAGTTGTAAGTTGTATTTGCCCAGCCTTTTGCAATTTGAAATTGCTTGTTTTTTTTTTTAAAGAAATGCTCAACATTTTGATGACCAAGGTAAGTATACTCTTATACACGATAGTCATGAGGGCTATGACAGATTCAAATCAGTTTCCTGCTTAAACTCTGCCATCAAAGAATTCTCTCTTTCATTGACAGAGCCAAAATCTGTAAAAATGGTTTAAAAGGCTAATTTTGTAATCCTAATGAGGATTAAAATAACAGGCAGAAGAAATCAGACTCTTGGAGGATTTTTGTAGTGGCCATGGTGGTCCAAAAATTTAAATACAGGGACATTTCATTGTAAATACAATCTAAAAGGAACAATATTGCAAAATTTACCCCCTGTATGATCCCTGATAAGATAATGGGTTTCATGAATATTATTGGCACTAAAAAATGGAGTTGAATTAAAATGGCTTAAAGTCATTTGTGATCTTGCTTGTTTCAATCAAAGTCTTGCAAATGTAATATCTACACCAAAATTTTCCTGGTATGTCTTCCATGTTTTGGGTTTGTGGGGATTATCCAACTCGCCGCGACGAAGAAACAACCTGCAAAAATTCAACTTCTTGAGAACAAAAAAAAATGTATATACAATATTTTTTATAAAATACAACTTCCTAATTTTTTCATTAATAATGCTATTGCGTATTATCAATGACTTAAATCAACACAAGAAACAGTTTAAATAATTCCATTAGATCTAGTCTACAAGGCAGTCACTTCCATTCTTAAGCATCTAAACACAAAGAACCTTTGGGGATAAAAAAGAAAAAGAAAGTGGGAGGGGGATGAGGAGGGGGGTTCAGTTTCAGTTTATTTATTTCCTACAGAAACAATACAAGTCATTTAGATACAGAAATTCAATATATTACAAAAATGTTATTTCAAGATTAAAGAGACGTAAATTGCTTCAACATAACTTTTGCACTAACAGTATTATTTTTATATTCTGAGCAGCGCCGTTTGTCTACTTTCAGCTGAATTAGTCCTACCTGTTATTCTCAACAAAACTTGTATGGAACCAAAAGAAGAAGGCACACTTGTCATATCCACATGGAACATTCTACATAATCAAAACCAAGAATATCGTGTAGTTAAACCATTTCATTAAACCGGTTAAGCAACAGATATTTTTGTAGAGGGAGGAATACACGATATGTTGTGAAAATGGTCTGGAAAAAAAGCAAGTTCCAACCAACAACAACTCATTGAAAACATAAATCAAGTTGAGGGTTACACCAGGCCATCTTACCGGATTGGATGAATAAAACTTCATTTTAATGTCTCCTGTGAGAGTAGGGGATTCTGCCTCATAAAGAATGATAACAAGTTTGTCGAGTTCTTTTAGATGTTGTATCTGTGAAAAAGGTTCCAAGTATTAGCATTCAAAACATATCATTACAAATACATCCACTAAGTACTATATCACAGTACAGTCCACCTCCACTATTTTGAAACTTACAATTTATAATGTCACATCTATTCTATCATGCAAATGTGAGCATATCCAAGAGCGGATTTAGGGGTGGGCCAAAGGGGCCCCGGCCACCCCTTTTTCTTTGAAATTCTGTAGTATTTTTACAGAATTTTAAGAAAAATAAAAAGTACTTGTATAGCTGACAAGTGGAAAAGGGGCCCAGCCACCCCTTTCTGAATTTTCTGGATTTGCCCCTGATATTAAATAAGGCATGCCCACAGTCAGTCAACAAATTATCATTCTTTTAATATCTTTACACATTATATTAAAGACAGGCCACTATATGTATCTTACTGTAATTTCCCAGACAAGTGGAACCAGAAAATTCCCTTCACTAACAGGACCAGGGGATTCTCCTGACATGAAGGATCTGCAAATTCCCATTACATTGGGAACCAAGGTCCCCCAACAGAGTAAGACACAATTTTCCTGTCCACTTGTCCTTCCGACAAGAACTATACTCAAATATGAAGGAGCACCTAAAAATTGTGCTCACGTGAAAGGCAACAGGATTGTAAAACACCAATCGGGAACAGAATTACCATTCAAGGGAAATTTTAATCTTATACATTATTATTTGACTGAGTAATTATGTGCTACTTACCTGTCCATCACGTGAACTTGCAAGCTCCATTTTAAAAACAGTAATACCATTAATGATTATCTCAAATGAAATGTCATTTCCATTGCTATCACCAAGACCTGAAGAGAAGAATTAAATGAAAATACCCTTTAAGTGAAGTTTCAGAGAAGATAAACCAAAAACTTTTCGCACATTCCTTGTGTTTTATCATTACTGTATTGAAGTCTTAAAGAAAACTTTCTTGTTAACTGTAAAGAATGTACAGGTAGTCTACGTACCAGATATTCCATCTATCTTGATGTTTTTAATGCGGTAAGATATTGATGGGGGGAGACGGCCATTTAACTTGGTGAAAACTCGCTCAAGGTAGCCTACAAAACGGCTCTGGATGGAGAAATAACAGTTAAAATACAACTCAATAAGTAATTTAATGGAAACCAAAAAAAACTGAAGGGCTAATTTTGGCCTGAACAGTTTCATGAAAAATGCAGTGTGAGAAACTCCACTGCTGACAACTGAAAAATGGTTATAACATTGCTGACCCAGTACAAACAAACCTGGCTGGGTGTTTGCACTCCTTGGTACTGATTCCCAACTGAGTAATCTGTTCTTCTGTGTCCAAAATATTCCAAGCTATGCTAGAGGAATGAAATGCCAAGACAATATTGAAATACTGTAGTCACCGATGATCAATAAATTAATTCTAAAATAATTGTGGTCAAAGGATGGAAAACCAAACATTTTCATGAGATATTCCCCCTGATAGAACTAGGTTGGAGCTCCAGGCAATAACAGTGATAAAAGGTGATAACAGTACTGACAAAGATAAACAAAACTCAAAGAGATAACAACTACAAATATTATAAATTATGAATTGTAGATTAAAAAAAATACAGGTTTCCACCACTCAAAAGTAAACCTTTTTCAAGGAAATAATGTTTATATAGTATCCAAAAAAAGAGAGAGACAAAAAAACCTACAGAACTCAATAATACCTGAGCTTGTTCAAACTGTCCATTGGCAATAAGCCACGAACATATTGCAGTGCCTGTTCTACCTAAAATAAGAATACTTTTTCAGTACAGTGAACACCAAATTTGTAAATGCAAATTAATCTGATTGCTACAGGCAACTCATTTCCCTGGCCAGAAATAAAGCATAATGAAAAAACTTGGTACTTAAAAAAAGCTAGAATCCAGCAAAGGAGTGTCAACAAACACACAATTCAATTTAAACAATCTTGTCTTAGGATATGATTTTAGTTAGAAGCTACCTTGCCTGGATACCCTCGTCTGCTGGGTAAGCAGGAATGGAAACGTATAATGTAATTGCCAGGTGGAAAAATCTAAGTTTGTTCTGGACAACAACTGCCATTGTTAACTAGCGGGATACTTTTTAAACTCCTTTAACGGAAAGTACATGTAATAATACAATACACAATTTAATGTACCGAGTCATTGAAATATGATGGCAGAGAATGCTACTATAATTAATCACCTTTTCCTCCCTTACAATGTACCGCAATGACATTCTTTGGATCTCTATCAAGCCATTCTCTCACATTGTGAGTAAAATACAATAACTGGCTGGAAAGGAAACATTAAAAAATTATCAAATGACTTTCAGCTACTCTTCTCATTAGATGATGACAGAACTAAACAACAACCTAACGTGACAATTTTAATTTAATTTACAGGTATCTTCAATAGTGAAAATTTAGAGTTAACTTTTTGGGATGTGGAGGTTACATTTTGTGAAGGAAAAATCTGCCAATTAGGTTTTAAAAAGGGTTTTGATTGACCTTGTCACAATAATCTTATCATTCAATGTCACTTTTAAGTTTGAAGTAAAAACTGCATAAAACATAGCAATAATGTTATTCCAACCCTGACTTATCCCCAGTCGTCTTCTTGCATAACATGCATGACGGGAGCAGGGGTGATGAAAAGGGAGAAGAGAGAAAAACTCTCTCTCCTGTGCTTTCCTCATCAGATTCTAACCTTAGTCTAGGGACGTTATGGTCATCAATAGGAATTCTCTCCACTCTGTTATGAAACATAGATGGCTCATAGCTTCTCTCACCTGAACATCAATTAATACAATAATAAAATATTGTATTGAGAGGAACAATCATAGCAAGGGCATTACTTTTGTAGACATGTGGGTTATCCTTTGGGAAATATTAGGTAACCAGACAAGTTAGCCTAACAGGGAAGACCAGGGGATTCCCCTAACATGGTAATGACAGGTACTTCTTGCGGACAAACAGGACAGGGCAACATTCCACAAAGGTGTAATTCTTATAACATGGATCAGTAGTAGGGTAATAGCTTAGCAGAAAGGCCTTAATGGGCAAATCTACGAAACAAGGTCATAAATGGACTTGTACAGGTTCCAGAAAAAGAGTAATTCCACTAAAGTGGAGGACCAGGGAATCCCCTATTAGGGGATTCCCGTACTAAAAAAGGGCAGGGAAAATCTCCCTGACATTTTTAGTCCCAACAAGTGACCTCTTACAGATTACAAGAACAGAGCAATCATTGCTCTGTTCTTGTAATCTGTAAGAGGTCACTTGTTGGGACTAAAAATGTTTGGGAGATTTTCCCTGCCCTTCTCCTTCAGAGCAAGGTATTCCCTGTGCTCCCCTGCCTGGGTTAGAGGAACTGATTCTTCACTCTCCAGAAAGCAGGGGACTTGACTTTTAAAATAGGAATCTCCGAACATAAAGGGTAAGGGAAATCTTCATGCATGTATTAAAATAGTCATAACAAGGACTGGTAGAGGTACAAGGAACTGAGTAAAATAATACTCAAAACTGGAGTTCCAAGATACTGCCTGTACAGGGAATCCCTCCAAACTGTGACGTTTATAACAGGTGCGGTGTGGGTTGTCCTTTCATGGCCACTTAAAGAAAGGGAGAAATTTCCCACCACAGCAGAAGATCATGAATTTTTCAAATATGGGTAACATTAACACAAGACATTAAGGTTGATTGGCTACTTCAGAACAAAAGCTGCATTAATACTTGAAACTCAACTTGAAGATCAGAAAGCAGAAGATAGTTTAACTTACTACATAAATTATACACTTTGTAGTGGTTTTCATGTTTGGTGTCTAGGAACCGCACAACTTCCTGTTGATTGAATGAATACTACTTTTTACTCTACCAAGTTAAAATCCTTTGAACCTGAATTAGCAGTTGTATTATTAAGTATGCTCTAAAGTACAGACATTACATAGCGAATAGTCTAAGAATTTTTCACAGGACCGGGCGGGGTATAATAAAATGGAAGTTACATCATGTACCATGTGCAAATTTTGAAGGATATCAAAATTAACGTATGTGAGTTGTGGTTTAAGCCTTGCCTACATTTTTTGGTATTGATAATCGTTATCAGAATAAATAAAATAAATATTATTGAGCAAAAATCAAGGGATTAAAGTAAACTTAAACAGCTACAAAATAAAACAAATTAGCCTTTGGTTAGCTCATTGAGCACTTCTCAAGTGCTTGCAAGTACGTTACATTCTTGACAAACTCACAGAAATTGGATTTCGATACATCTTGTGCTTCCCAGAGGATGGAAATGACATAGCAATAACTTTCTCTGTAAGAAACAAACAATCAAACAAAGAAACAGAAAATATATATGAAAAGTTATTGCCATATGCTTAAAGCCCATCAAATACAGTGAAACCCCGCCTTATGGCCACCGCGGTAATACAGCAGTATGGTCACTTCATTATTTGGCCCCTTTTTAGGCCGCCTGGCAAAACGGCCGTACATTTTCTTGTAAAAAAAACCCTCATTAATACAATCACCCGTTAATACGGCTAACTTTTTTTGGCCCATTAGTGACCATATTAACGAGGTTCCACTGTACTTCCAAATAAATCATCAATCCAATCTTTGTTTTTGCTTATAACCAGCAAACATCCATTATTTTCTCAAAAAAAAAACACTACCTGTGATATATGTAAGATCTAGATCAAAACCATCCTTTTGGTATCTCCTCTTGTTTTGTGATATCTACAAGCCACAACAAAAGAAACAAACTATTTCTTTCCATTATACTTTGAACATTATATTTACTTATTTTTACGTGAAGTTTCCAACTTCCCACCAGGAATTACAATTTTTATTGTACTTCTATAAATTGCACCCCACTGCTCCATCTCACTTCCAAATGAGACAATGAGAGCATCAGGATACATTCCCAAGTCTCATAAACACAATGCATAGACTAGTAAGATAGTTTGCCTCAACTCAGGGTGTCAAAAAAAAGTCCCATACAGACTTCTGATCCGTGACAAGTAGACTTTTGTGTCAGGCAAGTAACCTTTCAAGTTCACTTTGTTGATGGGTGAAGACCCAAGCAATTCATTTTGAAACTGAAAAATAAACTTACACTTGCAGTCAAAATTTGGGTGCTGCTTGGCCAAAGAACAATCTAAAATTCTAATTATTTTTCAAGTTCACTCATTGTGCCTCAGAGAGACCTTGGGAAGATCTACCTATTAACAACTGTTTTTTTGGTATTCCAATGACAGCGCGTCAAATTAGGATTACTGATTAGTCAGTTGATTGACATTTTAAACTACCAGAAAGACAGCTAAACCAGAAGAGTCCTGATCAATGTCTATGGCAGTATAACTGGCACAAAGTCCTATAGTCTACCCACTGTCAACTGCAGTCACTGATTTGTCTTTCCTAAACTATTCCCAAGTTTTTCAGTGATCATTTAAGTTACTTAAGCCCGTGCAAACAGACGCAACATTGTTGGCCAACAACTCCCAAAATTGATGGATGTTACATGTTGCGTCCATTTTCACAACCTGTTGCATGTTGCTGCGTCTTGTTGCGCAAAGTTTGAAACCAGTCAAACTTTTCAGTTAACAACTCCCTACATTTCTTTTGTTCTGTGATCGCCGAAGCATAGCGCAACAATGTTGGATCCGTTTGCACACCTCTTCCAACATTGTTGGGGCCACACATGCTCATTATGCATGGTTTACAAAGACTTATGGGTTGTATCCTTCCCACGATGCACTGCAGGTCCCAACATGGTTGGAGTTGTTGCATCCGTTTGCACACCACTGCCAACACGTACGCAACAACTCCCAACATTGTTGGCGCAACAATGGTGGGAGTTGTTGCGTCCATTTGCACACAGCCTTAAGCCTGTTCAGCTCTATCAGTGGTTTGGAAACATTTTTTCAGTTTCAAACATTTCCAACTTCTGACTTACTCACCATTCTTCTTGTTGCTCTTTCTAGCTGATCTTTCCCAGTAACAATCCTTATAAACAGCAGCACACGCACAAAACGAGCAGCAACTACAAGTCTAAACAGATGGATTGGAGAATAATGATATTGGCTGACTTCGTCACAAATTCTGCCAGAAACCTGTGACTATCTTGACATTTCTGGATTAAAAATAATACTTTTAAATAAAATAGGTACTTTTACTGTACATTCTGTGTATTTTTGACCTTTAAATATACCTGTTTCCTCCACATAAAATGAAGAGGCTCTTTTGATATTTGATTATTTTTTTATGTAAATTTTTTTGTAAAAAATAACTTTTTCTCAATTCTATTAAATGTTTACATGTGTGTCAATAATCCTCAAAGGTCTCATCTTAAAGTAAAATGCTAACAGGCACAAAAAGGGATAAGCAGAATAACAATGTTAAGTTATGGGGGAATTGTTCTTAGTACTTAAGACTGTTTCTTCTTTAAGCTGCAGTACTTACTTGGCATAACCATGTTCCTGTAAGGTCAACCAGGAGAAGACGAGTGTGAGAATAAATGAGAGAATGACTACAATCATGTCTAAGATCTCCAGCCATCTATGAAAGAATGATGTTCTGCAACAACCAAAAGGATAAAAACAACAGTAAAAATGCTAGTAAGCAAGCCATGCTTTGTTTACAGTTTTGCAACAAGACACTTGATGACTACACTTGATGACTCTTGCCTTTTATTTCCCTAGACTGTTTACTGTAAGCTGCCACTTAAAAGCCCAGGGCTTGTACATCTCTGTAAGGGGTTTTAGGGGGGCTAATTGTACCGATTTCTAATTGAACTTCAAAACATCATAATAAACTGAATTAACTTCAATAAATTTGGAGGGGGGATTATATCCGGGGGGGAGGGGAGGCTTATAATCGGATGTATTTTTTGTTTACAGGCAGATAGACCTATGACTTGGGGACTTTTAATTTTTTGGGGGGGGCTTATATACAGCTGTTTATGGTACCTTATCACACTTGATACAGAATGATGGCACTGTACTCTTCGATTGAAACCATTATCAAATTACAGTGGAACCCCAATACAACGATCCTCGATATAACGATATCCCCGGTATAACGATAAATATGCTATGTCCTGGCAAAAGTTACAGTAAAATGTATGGGACAGAACACCAATATAACGATCTTGGATATAACGATGTTCCCGATATCACGATGAGTTTTTAGTGCACCGAGCGTAAAATTTTCCCCGATATAACGATATTACAGTATCAGTACACAAATACAATTTAAACCAAACATTGAATTTAATACAATAACATTACAGTAATCGAGTACAGTAATCTGTAACGTTTCTGTCAACAGCTTTCAGTTTACGATGCCTCTTTATCCTCCTTGTTATTTAATAGTTCTTTCAGTTTTAGTATTTTTGACTCCTTCTTGTGACAAAAAGTAAGCAATTAGAGATTTTATTATTACGTTGGATGATTCGGGCGGACGAGAGAGAGAATTCCTTTCCTCTCTTTCAGCGATGGAGGATGCGTTTTCAAGATTGCAAATAAAACAATTGAGGCAAACCAAACTTGAAGAGTACTTTAATTAATGAACAAGTGTCTGTTAAAAAAGAAAAACAATGAACAAGCAAACAGCGAAAAGTAAAAACGATTACAGTCGCAACTTCAAATGTTTAAGTTTTGTTTTGTTTCCCTTTTACGATTCATACCACAGACTTTGTTGTGTAACCTTGTCTAAGGACATTGCTGCGTGCTTGAAACGCTACATTTGTTAGTCATTTGATACTCATTACAAGTTTAATTAAACAATATGTAGTAAAAAAAGTACATGTTCATTTTACCCCGATATAACGATACCTCGATATAACGATCTAATTCCTCTGCTCCCTTGGCATATCGTTATATCGGGGTTCCACTGTAGATGATTCACTTACCCTAATGCATACATTCTCAGCAGAAGTTCCATCAGGAAATATGTTACTATTATCACAGAAATAATCTCCAGACTCTGCAACAAAGACCTCAACATTAATGCTGGTCCATTAACGCTTGTCTCAACATCATCATCATCATCATTATCACTGTTATTATTACTATCATTACAACTAATATTATTACTACTATTGTAGGGATGTGATTTCTGATAAACTCCTTGATTCCTGTCATAAATCATCTTGAATTTTCTTGTGAACTAAAGAGAGAAATAAGGCTTTATTTGATACACCCTTCCAATTGACAGCAAGTTTAAATACATGTACATTCCAATGTTACCTTTTCTGATCCTCCTGCAGTTGCCAAGTCTACTATAACAATAATAATGTCCACCAGAACTAACAGCAGACTAAATAATCTGAAACAAAATAATGCACCGAAGAAGTTAATAAGTTGTTGTAAGGGTTACACTTGTAGCTTGATTTGCTCATGTTATCATTTGAACTGCTTTAAGTTCTTAATTTTTTTACTTCTTCAAAGCAAACAGGTGAAGACAACTAATTTAATTCCCTCACCTGAAAAAGAAATGCTCCACAATTTTCCTAACATTTTCTCTAAATTTCCTGTCAAATTTAAACAACACTGTGTATTATTTCTCCTGCCACAGAGTACACAAAATCCAACGCTCAAGTGAGCTGTTTCAATAGGTCAGAATAGGTCAGAATATAAGGCTCACAGATTTACTGCAGAGGCTCAATCAGAGATGTGCTCAAGCAGCACCTTAGCTAGTGGTAGGGTTCCCAAAAGAAGCTGGCAACCAACAGAATTGTGCTGGCTATGAGTTATAAGATCACCCCCTGTTCACACTACAAATATATACAATACATGTGATGTTAAAAGGACCATATTCACCACTCAATTCATTATTCATTCATTCATTCTTTATCTGCCATATATACAAAATTTTACAATTTAAGGAATTATGGTTAACTGTAGGGGTGTAACGATTCATATTCCTTGCGATTCAATTCGATTTCGATTATTGCCTTTCGATTTCGATTATTTCGATATGATTATGTAAATGTTTCGTAACTCTTATAACATAATGCGTAAAGTTAACAACATGCAACCCTAAACCCTAAATTTGAGAATAGTAACAGGGACAGGAGGATTAACAGTCGCTTTGTTCATCACCATGTTTGAGAACCTGACAAAGAGCGTGTTGCACGTGGTTTACCTTATTATTTTGGAAATTCTCAAGGGGTGGTTGAAGGACAGCATTTTTACCAGGTAACACAAAACGGTGCACGAACTGCTATCGTCTTTGCTCCTCAATCAAAAAATGCACATTTTAAAGAGTTCTGGATTCTGATTTTACAATAATTATAATAACTCACTGAAGGCATCCTAGAAAAGGTGTGCAAAAATCGAACCAAAATCGAAATGTGGAATCAAAGAATTGTGAATCGAATGGAACGGTCATAATAATTATTGCTACACCACTAGTTAACTGCAAATTGGTTCTTTGAATAAGGCTTTGTAAATGTTCTCAGTTGGACCTCAACATAATCTTAGTTTTGTCTATTACGTAATTTAAGTTAAATAAGCTACCGGAGACAATTTCTTACAATGAATGAATCCATCCTGTTACAGTGTTAAGTAAATGGGGGACACAAGCATGTTTCTTGAAGGGAGATTGTTTTTTTAGTAAATTACAAAGTACATCTTGCAGTCAATAAATTAGTCATTTTGGGTTCAAGCATAAAAAGGTAATGGTCTGAACAAGTATCATGGCCCGACATTGCAGGAGTTTGAATCTCACAAAGAGTAAAATTTCAAAATATTCCACAGGAGCATACCCCCAGATCCCTTAGAAGCTCAGCCCTCTGGGCCTTGCTCATAGAACTGCCAGGAGTCACTAGCCTGGGCCCCCACCTGCAATCGGCAACAAAATGCGTTGAGACACTTCGCCCTAAAGGGGCTTTTTGATGTTTTATTGACTTCAAAAGAGGAAAATATAGCCTCCCCCACCCCCTCCAGGCAATGTTGTGCAGCTGTTGGTGCTACCTATAGAAAACAACAAACAACCCAACTTTGAATGGAGGGGACAGCAGAGGGCTGTGGATTCTTTAGCTCTCTATAGTTACCCTATTTGAGTACAATGTCTAAACAAATTTGTGGCCGATTGTGTGTACCAGGATTTGAGACAAATGCACCATGATTGGCCTGTTATAAAAGCCATTGCTGATTTCCCAAGCAGGTTAAAGGGATATTCAACACTCATTTCCGGTAACTTGTTGAGTCCATTAGGCCCCCGGAACAAGGATAATGAGAGTGCTTCTCAGACACTACTAACCAGGGTTAGATTATGTCTATGACGTGGGCTGTCAGTCACCTGTTCCAACAATTTTACTGTCTGTTAGAGAAATTTGCTGGCAGCCTGCACGCTGGGCATTATTATGGATGCTCACTGCCCTGGTGGGTTTTTGTACATACATGTAACTGCACAGTGCAAGTCACACAAAAGGAAGGTAAAGAGAAAAAAAAATGCCAAGACTGGGTTAAATTGTGTGTATCAGGGAGGGGGATGGGGGGCAGTGGTGGTCCAAAAAAGGCATCTCTGTGATTGGTGAGTTTCATGAATGTTAGACGAGGTTAAACATGAGACAACGCTGGCCAGTGGTCTCTGCCACTAATCATATATGTGGGGCAGTCTTGGGCTTTAGTGAATTGACAGCACTTTCGCAAAAGTCAATCATTTTGCTCACATTGCCTTTACGTGCAGAAGCTTTCACTAAACAGCCTTCGTGTCAAATGCCGTGTATGTTATTTTTGACAAAAGCTGTTTAATTTGACTGACAAAAAAAAATCAAGATCTGAAACCAAGTTGTGCTTTTGCAGTGGTTGATCCAGGGAAGGGGCCCGCCCCCCCCCCTCCCCCACCCTTATTTTAAGACCAAACTTAGGCCTGAAGGGCCAAAAAAAATTTTTTGGAGACACACCCCCCCCCCTTATCTAAGGGTGTTTGGATGACCGGGTCCCCCCTTATCTCGAGGTCTGGATTGGGCACTGTTTTGTGCCATTGTAGCGCTGGCGTTGAGTTACAGAGAGCCCGATTTACAAAGCAGTAGAATGACATTTAAAAGTGGCCCAAGTTTTTCAAACTTTTAATGTGTGGGAAACAATATCCAATATTTGTTTTAAAAAGTGCTTTGTGTGACGTAAATTTGAGCAAAGAAAAGTCCAATATCATCTCGAACAGGATCTCGAATGCACACGTGCACACGACTTACACGTATCTGAATTTATTTGGAATTAGACACCAACTGAAAGCCGAATGGTGGATAATAATTAATGGTGGATGAAAACTCTTCGCCTCATGATATAATAATTGAAGCTTTAGCCAACCTTGAAACATAACAGTCATGCCAATTGTTCACTACTAAGTGCAAGAACCCTAAAATTTGTTATTGTATCGATCACTCATTGTGGAATTTATATGATAATTTCATGACCGGTAGGCGGATGTATGTACAAGAGGAAAGAATTAATCCTAAACTCAGTAAAATTTTATTCATGTTTAGCGCTCTAAAGTTAATCCGTCAATGTTAATGGCTATGTAATTTGCCGGGTCATGAACAGAGTGAAATGACTTGCAAGCACAACTCAGCTTGATATGCTGACAAATCAAACGCATGGCCGGCCGCGCGCGATTGAGCGGACATCAACTTTTAATGCTAAACTTTCGGCATGTGCCGAAAATTTAGCCAAGTACTTACCCTAAACAACTGGTCTTCTCCCAATGTTTTTCTGGCTCACTCCAGGAGCTCAGAGAAGCATCAGTTACAAAGCGGATATGCTTGGTGGGGATAGAAACCTGTGCGAAGTCATACTCCTCCTCTTTGAGATCTTCATCATCCTCGTCTTCTTCCTCGTTGTCGAAATCGTCCTCGTCCCCTTCGTCGCTCATTTTTGTATAAACCAGCTTTTCTTCGCTACCGGATCGGTGATAGCTTGCACTGAAATTCGGGTTATCCATAAGTTCAATATGCTTATGGTATCTGGCAAGAGATTCACATATCTCTGGCGTTCAGTTTTTATAGTGCCCTTCGTAACCAGACACCTCGTGAAACAGGCACAAACCCGACTGCTTTGGGGAGGGGTCCGAGGATTTTTGTTCTGTCAGGCAGTCAGTCAGTCAAGAGTCCTGTTCTGCCTGTTGCTATACATTTTCTCTCTCACCGATTTTTTCATGGATACATTTCCTTAAATTATCATTTATAGATTTATATATACAAACAAAACACCAAACTTGCAAAAAAGTATAACAAAAAATTAAAAAATGCACGAGTTTGCTTTCGTACTTTGTTTATAGCTTCCTGTTTGATGTTGTGTTGACAGGTGAATTTTAAACCTGTGATTAGACGCTTTTTTCGGAGCGAGTACCGAAGCCTGATCTGGGTTCCTTTTGTTAATATCAAAAAACAAAGTAATAAACTATTTTAAAAAGCTAAAAGAAATCTGGCAATAAAAATTCAAAACGGAAGTTAAGCACGTGTAAAAAAGAAAAGGAAGCTTACTCCCAGGGAGAAACAAAAAGACGGAATGTAAATAAAACTTTTTCAGACTTCAGACTTAAGAACCGAAAAAACTTAAAGCAGGCCGTGAACCCGATGGAAAGACAAAACGGAAGGTACAGCGAAGTTGACTGAGCGCTGGGGGGGCGGGGAAAAACTTCCGGATCCTGTTAGTTCCCGCCAAACTTTCGCCTCGACATGATAACGAGTTTCTTTACATCGGCCCGTCTGTTTACATTTTCGGCTCCAAATTTACATTTCAGCGATTTGTTTTAATTCCCTTGGAAATTTTACTTAAAATGTCTAAAATATCTGGGATCGGACAGAAATTATTCAGATGGAAAAAGGGAGAAAAAACACCCAAAAATGAATGGCCAGAGCTGGTAGGAAAGGTATGGCTTAGATTTTCTTTGTCGTGTTCATGGGAGCACAACTGCACCGAAAAATATGCAGTTTTCTTTCAAGGCTCCGACCACCTATATCATCTTTCTACAAAGGATTTGGTTGCATCAAATAAATGGATTTTTTACCTGAGAAGTCGGAAAACAGTTGTATCAATGATTGATTGACCGTACATGGGAAATAAAAGTCTTCTAAAGCTGAGAGAAATCGGAAAGCACTTTTATCGACGATTGATTGACCGTTTATAATGAGAGATAGGAAAAGTATCGGACGGATAGTATCTTATCGTAGTTGAACGCTCAACTTATATCCTGATTATTTCTTTGTAATTCAAAAGATTTTTTGTTAATTTTATGCAACGATCGTGAATATTCTTAATACTGTAGCTAATTTAAATATTTCTTCCCAGTGTTAAATGTCAGGTGCGCTTGTGACGTCACTAATTGAGACTTTAAGTGGTCATTTACTTGTGCCATTTTATACTTCATTACAGTTTGATAAAAGTTAAACATAATATTTGAAAATAATAAACAGAATAAATTGAATGATCTAAAAATATATCAACCTTAATCTAAAAAAATGAAGCATAAAAAGTTCTTAAAGAAACAATATCAAAGTAAAAAGTATAAACATTTAAATATTTGTGGGAGAATGACTTTTCTGATCAGAAGAAAAATGAAAATAATTCTGAACATCAGGATGTGACTGTTATGCAGGCTAAACAAACCTTGAGTGCTTACGAATTGTATTGAAAACCCGGTAATTCCGGGGAGAATTCAAATGGAATGGTTCATCCCGATGGAAATTTTCCGGATAAAAGTAACACCTTTCAAGGTATTATCTTTTTCCCGTTTTTACCGAAAAAAATTATGACCAAAATTTTTTGTACCGTTTGTCTGGTTAACCAGTGCAGCAAGACTTGCTCTTGAGGCGGTTGGTGCATGATTTGTTTTAACCCAGACACAACTCTAACCCACTCCTCTTTCAAAAACGTTTTCAAGCCCAGTACCATTTGTCAGAATTTTTTTACTGAAATTTCCTTACAAACAGTAAGCATTCCTTACATCAATAATATTAAAAACAGTTTATTAATGCTAAACAGCAATCTTGTACCCAGAATATGTACTGGCTGTAAAGTGATAACATGCCAACCAAAAACCCTGAGGACTCTGGGAACAAAATTGCTTATAAGTGAAAAAAAAAGGACATAAAAATAAAAAATAAATAATAATTATTATTAATTCCACAACTATATACTTTTCCTCCCAGGGGGCTGAGGAAGCAACAACCATAATTGATAAAGAACATCCAGGATTAAAAGTAAATGTTATTAAATCATGAAATGACTGTATTGCATTGCAACACCATATTTCTTGCAAGGGGACTGGAAACTTATTAGAAGTTGACCAGTGAGATGCCTATTTGTGGAAGGATACTTTGTGACCAGAGGCTACCATTTTTGAGGTTTTCACACCAGGAAAATCTAGCCTTTGCTCACAGGGCAGATTGGTATGCAGTCGCTAGATTCATGTGTTTATGGGGTGAGAGGATTGGGGTTAGGTCCCTTTCCATGATTCCCCCCATGCCTCAAACTAACCCCAATTTTCTCTCACCCCAGAAACACATAAATAGTGACTGGGTACGATTACACTCACAGAGTGGTGGAGGAGAGGGGGCTTCATAAATTTTCAAATAAATGCAAAAAAAAATGGTGTTTGGATGTACAACTGAAGTTGTATTTACATAGTTCTGACCAGTTTCTGTCTATCTCAAACATTTCAATTCATTTTTGCATGAAGTAGATCTCATCATCATTATCAGGGAAGGGAGCTTCTCTAGTTTTTGACTTTTTAGGGGGCTTATTTAGTCTTTTTATTTTGGAAGGGGGCTTATCTAGTCAAGGCTTGGGGCTCAACCAAGAGGAAATGTGGTATATGCAAAAAAAAATATATATATATATATATGTATAATAATAATAATAATAATAATAATAATAATAATAATAATAAAGAGCTAATTTTAAAAATATTCAAAATAAAAATTTTGAAATGACAAATGTGAATCATTCATTATCAACTTAGTTGTGGGTTATTAAAATAATAATAAAGTTGGAGTCATTTGGAAAAGAATGTTGCATGGATAAGAAGCTTTCAGCAGATTTTCACTTTTGATCCATTCTTTTGCAGATTCAAATCATTCCAGAAAACAGTGTTGTCAAACAGAATTTTGATGAAAGAAGAGTGAGGATAATTGTGGACAGAAAACAAACAGTGATAAAAACTCCACATATAGGATGATGAAAATGAGAGAACAACGGCAAACAATCAAAAACAAGAAATTCAGTTCCCAAAAATTATATGCATAGTTACATTGTTTAAAGTTTAAGTCCACGGATCTAAGGCAGTAGTGACTTCAGAATGGCAGGAACTTGGTATGCAACAACTCAGATCTCTAGGAATGAGTTCACATTAACTCATCTGGAAGTACAAACCAGTAACATGATACAAAAATGTAGCTGCAATATTTTACTCAAGGAAAAGTACTTTTTCAGTTCGGTTTCTAGGTTGATTGTCAATTTCCTTGTCAGTTAGACCTAGGACATAAAGGAGACTGAAAATCAACCTACATGCTCGTCAGATTTTGTTGAAACACTAGGCTGAAACTGAGGATTTTTCATGTCACGCCATCTCAACCAACTTATTTAACTTTTCCCTGAGTGCACTTCTTCTCATGTTCCCCAATGTTGAGATTTGCATATTTTGCAAATGGGTGATATGTGAATCAACATAATTGGGTAGGGCGTAACATGGCAAGTGTTTCAATAAGACATAGTGTGACGAGTATTGTAGGTTGAGTGCAAAAAAAAGAATGACAACTTCAACTTAACCAATAAATTTATTTATTTTACACTTCATCCACCAGACAAGGGAATTATTTTCAACAAACAAAAATTTGTCATGAATTAGTTAATTGACTTTTAGAGTTTTCTGTACCCAAGAGCTCAAAGCCTTTAATCACATGGCATACGCATTTATTAAATAAATTTTGACACTCTAAAACCATTTTAGATTTCTAATATTAGTTTGCATCTGTCACTTCTGTGACAGTTAATTTTTGAGTTTGCTAACACAATGATTTGATTATTTAAATACATGTTAATTAAGAACTTCCTTAAATTTTAGTCTACCCAAATTCTCAGCATTAGCAAGAAAACACTGCAGACCAGGCATGAATAATCAGACCAGCTGATATTTCAAACAAGCTGCTGGCACTGGATAAACTAAAACTTTTTAAGGATAAAATGTGAACAGTTTTCCAAAGAGAGCCATTTTAATAATAATAATAATAATAATAATAATTATTATTATTATTATTATTATTATTATGTCATTATGAAACCCACTATTAAGTAATTATTGGGTTTCATTATGACATAATAATAATAATAATAATAATAATAATAATAATAATATGATAACAACAACAACAACAACAACAATACTGATATATCAAATAAGTGGAGTAGCATGAAATAAATTATGTATCATTGTTTAATTCTAAGGAAACATTGTAATATTTTTTTTGGCCACATACCTGTATTAGAGCAGAAACATTTCCTGACTTTTTTCTAGGCCTTAAACCAATTCCACTCACCTAAAACATTCTTGTTTGGTAACCCATCAATATATTATTAGTCTCTTCTCTTTAGATCTCTTTAGAATGCAAGGGTTACCATTACAACTAGTACATTGCTTTTTTGTAAACATCATGCAGAGTATCACAATCAAAAGTCAACAGGCCTATTGTTATCTCCATAAAACTCTGTCAAAACCTCACTGCTAAATCCTAATTTTACATCAAAAAAATCTTAGTCTAGCCTGAATTTCATTTGATTGCTTCAAGTCGTTTTCTCCTCTCAGCAATGTTGTTGCTGAGGGAGTAATAACGACTCGAAGTGATCAGATGAAATTCAAGCTAATCTTAGTCCAATTATAACCTAAAAACGGAAAAGGGTTTTGGAAAACCATTAACTAAGAAAAGTCTAAATTTAACATACAATATGACAAAATTAAGTCAACAATCATGAGCAAAGCAATAGAATCTATACAATAAATTTTTTGCCAGCTGTTTGCCTTGAAACCTAAGGTGACAGGAAACTGAATAACACAACTGAACAGATAACACTGAAATATGTTTATCACTAACACTTGTATAATAATCAAATACATAATAAGATTTTATCCCTGTGCTTGTAACTAGTTTCTTTCAATTACCACTGTTTTTAGATCTGTCGGTATTTTTCCAAACAAAGCCAACATCCTTTAGCTGATGACTGGTCAAGAAGAGAGTAATATTACTATGGCAAGACATACAGATCATTGCTGATATTATCAACAAAATAATGTACATGTACAGGAGAAACTTTGTAGGCCATATTGTTGACAGTAATAATAATAATTATTAAAATGGATGTCCCAAAACAACAATGAAGGCCATGATGCCAATTAAACTTTATATTTACAATATTTTGAACAATATTAATAGAGCTTACCATGGGCAAAAAATATTCTTCTTTAGCCGAACAATTGTATCGGCTTCTACTATAACAGTGATAAGAGGTAGCCATTACTCTAGAAAGAATACTTACTTGATATAAACATTTGAGTTAACCTAAGTAAGCTACACACGGTAATTGAATACTTGTAACTCTTCAAGGTAAATCGACTTAAAGGTGAGATAGACAAGACATCATAAGATTCTTGTTATTATCTTTAAGCATTCGAGCAGCTGGTGTACAGCCATGTAATTATTACAAAACCAGCTAAAAATTTGGATTTAACTACAAAGGAGCTTATTTTTACCTTCAACCCTGCCTATAATCTGGGATGCACTATATAACCTCCGTTTTGGGCACAGGTTTTAAACATAGGATAAAGACCTAAATGTAGTTCTGCTGGAAGCAGTTGGTGGGGGAGGTTTAGGGGGTGGAGCTGGGCGACATGACCTTGCCGCAGGTCTAGGCGCACTAGAGGAAGCACTTGCTGAGTGGGATGATGCACCGTTTACCCTTGATGATAGGTCTGTGAAATTAACATAATCAGGAGGCTTTGATGCTGTAGGTGCCAACTGGTTTATATTCTCATACATTTTTGCTTGAAGAGATGTGTTTTGAGAAAGACTTCTTGCAAAAGATGCACTGTCTGGTCTCCTCATAGTCGTTGTATTCTCAGTTCTTGCTCTTTGACGTTCAGCTGGAGGCAGCAATGCCCTGCCAGCTCCCCCTGATGCCATTGTTGTACTCCGTGGAATCTGCGGAGATGAACCCGCAGGGGGCGGTGGTGCTTTTCTAACAGGTTGTATTGCGTTTGATGATGATGCTGCTGCTGATCCATTCGCTCTGTAGTCTATTGGAATGGTTATATAATCTCCGGCCCTAGTATTGGAAGATGAGGTTCTTGAGGAACTTGGTAAAGGCTCTGTTATGTTCATATTAGTATCTGTAGATGGAAATTCTCCTGGCATGTCCTCTACCACCAATGATGAAAAAACTCCTCTTTGGCCTTGGAACTCCCCATACCAAAAGCCATCATCAATGTCATTGTCATCTTTTGAGATCACCCCTACAATGTCTCCTTCTTTGAAAGATATTTCATCATCACCCATAGCTTCATAGTCATAAAGTGCCCTCACATAACACACTGAAAAGCAAAACACTACATCTTCAGTTGACAAATCATTATTTAATATTAATGGTCATTGGATTCAGGTCAGCATAAAAATTCTCCCATTATGGTCTCCATGTCTAACATACCTGTAATAGCAGGGCTGTGCTGAGTGAACCCAGTGAGCAAGGGAGAGGGGTGGGTGTGTACTCCCAATTAAGTCCTAGGCTCCTCGAAAAGGGTACCTTTTTAAGGCTTCAGGTGTATAAAGGGGTAGGGATTTTGCCAGATGAAGTAAAGAGAAGGGTAGGGAAATCTGTAATTCAATTGAACATAGATATTTTAAAGGGCATATTGTTTATGTTCTCCCATAATACCATTTACTATTAACTTCATTAAAGAGTTGAGAAAGAGATGCAGTGTTCTTAAGTAGGTATTGAAAACTAAGGTAACATTTTTAATATAGAATATAGAAAAGGGGGTACCTCTTCTGTGAAAAATGGTATATAAAAAGGGTAAAGGATTGGAAATTAGGGTGTAGCCTCCCCACACATAACTTTGTTGAGTATGGGTGCCTAAATCCTTTTTCCCAAGGTCTACAGGTGTATCTTCCAATACCCCCTTGAATGTCCTCATCATAAACCAATGTCCTCACACCCCTACTGGAGATTATAATTTTTACTGCAGGTGGAAATAAATAATTATTAATGAGAATTTGAGATCAGATCTGGGGAGGTCCTGAAGGTGTTCATGCATCCCTTTCCCCTCTTCTTGCCCTAAATACCGTGAAAGACCAATGATTTTGTACCTGGGGTGATCCCTCCCTCTTAATCATATTTGCATTAACTACTGTTAACTGTTACTATTAACTGTACTTACAGTTAGTATCAGATATTCCATAGGGTTAAGGATTGTTAAGGACAAATTGGCTGGGGGCAAGAGTCCCCTTTTCACTGCTCTCAGGTCCTGTTCTCAGCAACCAAAGAAAGTTGTGTCCAATAGCCCAGGGCTAGTGACATTATTTAGGGGTATTTATATTACAAACAAACCACGCTTGATCCTGCACATCAAAACTTTGTTTTCAGGCTGAATAAAATGACTCTTGGGCTAGTACTTGCTAGCTACAGCCTGCCCAACAGACAAGCTGTAACTTTAAAACTGACTTCATTTGCACTCTGGTTCCCCCAACCCCACCCCCCCCAGAAAAGCCTGACAACCTGGCCAAACTCACAGTATTTTGTTGATCCTGATGTTGCTTGTACCACACTTGCGACACTGACTGGCGAACCAAGAGGAGGACCATCAGTGTAGGAACTTGTTGGAGTACTAACAGATGACGTTGATCCCACTTCAACATAAGACTCTGGAAAAAAACCCACTTGGCCACCTTTGTTACGACCCTGTTGAAATAAAATGTCCACAATTTATTGGCTAGGGTCTTGTTCAAATAAAAAATTAATAATCTAGTAATAACTAGCAACAAAATTATGATCGAAGGTCTAAATGCATGTGCTGCAAATTTGTCCTAAAAAAACAGACAAAACAGCTGTCATCATAAGTTGGATGCACATTATCTTGCACCAGGGGAACATTTTTGACATTCAGCCTCCTTCAGTTTTGGGAAAAGGTGATTTTCACTTACACAACATCAGTTTTTAGTAATTAATGCATACTTAGGACTTATTGGGGAATTTGGACTGTTGTTTCTTAAACCTTACTGAGATTACTAGAGATTAATGAGAAAGAAAAAACAAGTGTGCCAGTTATAGCCAAATATCCTTGCTTCTCATATGAATTTCCCACAAGACCTTACTAGAAAAACTGTAAATATTGTTCAACTTACCTTACACCATCCTTCAGCATCTCTTTCTAAGATTTCTAGTTCTTCACCCTCTGTTATGGTTAGCTCATCTGAGTCTGTTGCCTGTTAAGAATAGTCACTAGTTAAATAAACCGTGGCTGCACAAAGCATGGAAGACACCCTCAGGTAACAGTATTCTCCTTATGAGGCAGTAACCAGTAAAATTTACGCTTAGAGCATGATTTCTTACCACCTGCAAGGTTTACTAAAACTAATCAAGTTCTTTAAAAAATACAAAACGTTGTGATCGGAAGACACCCAGTCGATCTGTTAATAAATCATTATTATTATTATTATTATTACTATTATCTTCTTAAAACAATAAATTTGAAGGGAAAAGGTATACTTCCTACTTCATTTTATAAGGGCTCTTTCAGAATAATATATTGTGGCTCTTTAAGAAGTAAATTTTAAAATCAGAAGGCTGATAGCTTACAACAGCCAATAAGCCTCAAAAAGGTATTCAAATAAGAGAATAAAGTTTCAGAAAACCAAGCTCCTAACACATTTCCAAGGAGAGTGGGTCCATGTTCCTCACCCCATTCCCTCCGTCCCCCAAGGAAAGTGGTGTATATTTTTTGCTTTACTGGTCAGAAATGGTCCCCTTAATACCTGCAGAGCTAGAATTTAGGGAGACCATTGAGGTAAAAGACGTTATTCATGATAACCATGTGTAAATGAATGTAAATATCATATTATCCACTCCCCTCAGGGCCTTTCAGGGATAATTTACAACACCAGTTGGGGGACTTTTCCAGACTGCTTAAGGTGCAGTTTACAAGTAATGAAGGAATGAGTAATGATGCCCCCATACATGAGTGTGAAAATGATCATCTTTGCATGTATCTTTGCATGCAGTTTAGGACTGACGGGATAAAAGAAATGTCAAGTGGTCTCCCACGGGGCAAACAAGTGACAAAATTTGCCAATTCAAGAAACTGTGGTTGAGTTTGTTTACTCTAGACAACAGAAATCAAACAACTTTTTATCTTAACGATGATAAAAGCAAGTTATGAGAGGAAGTGATATTTGTTACTTTTCTGGATGCAACAACAACGTACATACAGGCAGAGCAAAGAGTAATGACACAAAACTTGTCCAAAAATTGTTCTGTACATTTTGCTTGACTAAAATTGCTGTCTCATTTCGAGGGAATAAACAAACTCGACTGTGATTTCTTGTATTAACAAATTTTATCACCTGTTTGCCCCCTGAGAGGCCACATGGTTTTTATCATCAATCCTAAAGGGCATGCAAAGATGGCAGGTATCATGCATCAAGGCTATTAAAGTGATCCTCAGTTACGTACAAGCCAGCTAAAGGATACATACCTCAAAATTGTACAAGGCAATACAAAGGACTGGGATAGAGCAGTTTGATGACACACTCCTGGAATCCTCATCTGAAGAGTAATCTGCTGTGAACGTGTCATCCAGGTCATCCCAGTCATCATCAGCAAAGTCATCATTGAATGAGTTCTGGCTTATAGAATCTGTCATGAAGGAGTTGTAGCATGTTAGACAGACTTTAGTAACTACCAGCAGGTTATAGTACGGTACATAAACATAAATTCGGCAGTAGAAAACTTAAGGAATGTTCAGTTGACCATATTATGGAATGCATGAAATAAACTTCTTTTGCTTTCACTGCATGGTAAAGTCCAGAAATCTGGTTTATGGACACATTCAAGATGTATGTAGCATTCCAATGTTTCAAAAATTTGTGGTAGAAGAGATTTGCCTCAAATTTTTGCCTGTTCTTATTCTTGAATATGATAAATTATTGAATGCATCCTTAATATAACATGAATAATTATAGTTACTATGAAAGGAATAAAACCAATTATTACCAGCTTCTATGTCATTAGGAGACAAGGAATTAGCACTCTTTAGCCATTCGTCCACATTTACTGAAAGAGAAAAAAAAAGGGTCTAAGTGAATTGACAGATAAAATAACAGATTCTCCTCCCCAATTACCTTGGATTTGCTCATAAACCAAGGAGGGAACTTCACACAAAATCTAAATTTATGGCAAAAAGTATTACACTGTACCAACTATTAATCTGAGGCCTTTCGGCTGTCAAAAAAGAGTTCTTTGGGGTTTTTTTGGTATGGATCATTTTAACAAAAAGACTGAGTATTTCTTGAGAGATACCTTCCTGATAGGCTACATGCAATATGTCCAACATGAATATTCTCAACTCACCCCCAGCCTCACGCAAGACTTGTAAACATGCCTCTGTCTTCAGCTTGTTTGTCTGATGCATGAGAAAGTAGAGAAAATCATTAATATTTGAACTCAATAAAAACAGTAAATTGAAATAAAATCACACATTGTCTACCATCCCTTAGTTATTACCAAAATCATTTTTTATTAAGAAATTTTCAAGCACATAAGTATAGTTTTCAGAAAGGTCCTTAATAAGAATGAAAAATTATACAAATTAGAACTTAAAAATTTTAAAAACTGCACGGTAAAATAAAATATATGTATAAGTCAACAAAACTAACTTTAAAATCAACAAAAGCTACATGTTTCTATTAAAACAAGGATACAACAGAAAGTGAACAAAATGATAACAGAACCAAAAACTCCATCTGTTTTAAGTAGTATCCTTTAAGCATAAATTATTAATAAGAATCGTCACAGTCACAACACTCGTTAAAGTTATAACACTCGTCACAGTCACAACAATTTCAACGCAGTCACAACATAAAGTTACTTCAATATTGACTTTAGAAACGAACCTCAATCAGTCTTATGCTTTCTTTCAATGCCTCAGCACTTTGCTCAGAATCCTGAGTGACATCTCCTGGTGCTGTTAGTGAATCTTCAGTCTGTTAAGGAAGTCAAAAGACCAAGTTTAAAGGTAGAGTTTGTAATAAATATATTACTGTATAGGTCTTAATTGAGTTGCTCATTAAGTAGCCTGGAACGAAGCTAAAGGACTGAAGACAAGCCAATGTAGAGGCCCAATCAATCCTATAAGTATGTGTTATCGACCAAACATGAGGTCAAAGTGGTTGGATACATGTATTGGATGCAATCATTTTGCACGTTCTTTTTTGCTTTTTTATGAAAGTGAAGAAGTAATTTCAATAATAAAGGCAAAACAGAGCAATGCCGATGTCCAACCATCTTGACCAAACAAGCTTGGCAAAATGAGGATTTATTATTAGCCAAAAAGATAACTTTTTCTTGCTGGACAAACATGGGAAACCCCGAGAGGGCAAGACACACCCATCTTGCCCACTCAGGTGGTCAATGTTCAGAACACCGGATTTACTTCATCTTGCCTACTTGCACACTCAGCCATATACAATAATCATCATGCATCTTTGAACATTTTAATGAAATTTCCACATTTCAAAATTACACAAGTAGGGATAGGAAACGAAGGAAATTCTGAATGAAATAAGGTTGAACACTGATTTAACCTGAAAGAGGATGTTACCTACAGCACAACATGCATTTACACACATACCCCTTGAAGTAGTTTCATTTTTGCCTTTATATTCATCTGATCCTTGGCAAGCTTCATTGCTAATTTTCTTGCTTCTTTATTCAACGCCAGGCCAGCATTGTGTTCTGTTGTAACCTTTCTTACCTAACCAGAAAATGAATAATTTTTATAAGAAAGACACCAAGTGAATAAAACAAGAGAGAAGCAACTTTTCAACCTGGATGCCTTGGGCACAGCCTGATTTGTGTCCAGCTGCTATTTTTTCTTTTTAATTTGTCTTCTCCATCAATTCAAGTCAAAAAGAATGCCAAAACAAAATACACCTGCTGATAGTTAAAAAATTGATGCAAAAAAACCTTTAAAAGAAAGGCTCCAGTTATCAGAAACTGCCTGTGAATTATAGCCTACCTACATGTATGTGAATGTGGGCAACCAAAGGATGTATGATTCGATTTAGATTTAAAAATAGTACTTACGTTATCATGTCTGTAAGGTTCAAAGTCATATTGAACAACTTCTGAAAAGACTTTGTCTTTAAACAGGAAAGCTTGAAGAGACACATCTCTGTTAATCTTGAAAGAAATTAACAACCAGTGCATTAATAATACTTTTGTCTACTGTATTTTATCCTTTTATCCTTTTAATATTTGAACTAGATATCACCGCATTGTGTTCAGCTGGAACTGTTGAGCTATGATGGCCACTTGAGCACAAGAGATTATTCCAGAATGTCAATGGTCCCAACCCTTAAAGTTAAAGTTTTTGCTTGGTCACCACTTGGGACCAATTCTTTTGGTTTAAGGAGACTTTTTTACAAATCAAGTCGCCAGCTTCAAAATTTTAGGTGCCTTGGCAATTAAAATGGTCGCAACTTGGAGGGTTCAGTCCACCAGGAAAAGCCAGGTAATTAAACCACCAGCAGCGACAATATTATTGTAATTAATTTGGTGTTTTATGGTTTGCTCGTGTATTCTGATTTCTATGGGGTTGGACTTGTAAAAATAATCATCAGTCCCAGAAAGGAAAATTTTTCTAGGCATTTATGGTTTTCTTAGTTTAACATTAGTGACCTTTTGATTCTAAGCTGAGGAAGACTATGAGGACAAGATTGCCCCAATATTATGTATAGTACACACGCGTGAATCAGCAACATTTTGGCGGGAAAATCATCATTCTAGTACAGGTTTTAGCCAAAATTCCATAGATACAGAAACAAGTTATCAAATGTTAGAAGTTTTTATTATCATTTTGCAATCAGGAGAGGTCTTTACCTCCTTCAACAAGTATAACAGTACTAACTTTTCTGGTAAAAAAAGGAAAATTGGTTGCGGGTGTATACATTGAAAGAATACATGAAAACAATTTACTTAAGTCAAATCTTATCCCATAAGTCGCCCTTGTCCTTGAATCTAAAGGTCTCTTTTAGAGTTTAAAGGCATAATCCTTACTGTATTTGCTTGAGAAACAACACTCTCAAATCCTGCTATCGCATTTCTGCAGGCATCCACTTCCAATTCACCCAAGGTGGCAAAGTAGCCTCTCATCTGATCAAAAAAGTCCCCATCTAAAGTCTAAATAGAAATACATGTACAAATGCACACTTTAATTTGAAGCTACACAACATGTAGAATTTTATATTATGTACATAGGCCACTTCCGAGTCCCAAAAACCCTCACTATCAAAATGATGCACAACCTTTCTTGTGAAAATGAGTTTTATTTGCATGAGAATGAAAAATTATTTCCATATCAAAGGCTGAGCACCCACCTACCCTCGTTTTGAAACAGAGGCCCTGGGAACTCGGAAGTGGCCCATTATTTAAAGGTGTATTGAATTTAAAAATACATGTAGAGCAAGCAAATGAGCAAACAAGCCATATTATAATGATGATAATAATAATAATAATAATAATAATAATAATAATTTAATAAAACAATAAAAATATTTTAATTCCATTCAACAGACTCAATCAATTACATTGGAGAAAAAAAAAACACTCTCATGGTGGAATTGCACAGTGTTTTGAAAAATAAAAGACTAAAACATGCAATATATAGATCCTAAGATAATCAAATAGACTCTCATGGTGTGCATCAAAATTAATGGAAATAAACAAGGCAATAAAAATGAATATTGACTCTAACGCATTAAAATGAAGTATAAGATATAAGTATAAAAAATGAAGTATAAAATGAAGTATAAGATATAAGTATAAAAAGAAAGAAAAGAGATTTACAGGCTGTGGACTGTAGACTACTTTAGTGGAAATCTATTGGTATGAAATTTTAATAAGTACTCAGCAACTTACAGACATGATGTCTTGCATCTCCGTGCAGTAATATCTTGTCATATGTGCATTGGCGGCAGCAAGTGACATTATATAATCATTTCTTGCCATTGCGGACCTTCTTTCGCAAACATCACGCCTACTAGAACTCTGTGAAAGGTCAACAAATACATTGTTATACATGTATATATATATAATAACAATGTAAATCCAATAAATACCCTAAAATGGGGCACTTGTTTAATTTGAGGCCATACTAATGGGACCATAATGAAGCAGGGATTTCATTTTTAACTTTTACAAGTCAAAGAGGAGATGATGACCAGTCAGCTTAACTGTTATTCAAATACTGGTGCAGTATGCGCCCTTTTTTTTAGTAAAGGGTAAGATAACGCGCTTTCCAGGCTCAAGGATAGTGGAGAAAGCA